TGCTGCTTCATATTTTTTTGGAACCTGTGATACTTTTTTCAGGATTCTTTGATGAATAAAACGTTAAAAAGAAGAGCATTTATTTAAAATATAAATATTTTCTAACAATATACACTACCGTTCAAAAGTTTGGGTTCAGTAAATTTTTATTCTTTCTTTTTTTTTGAAAGCAATTAAAACTTTTATTCAGCAAGGATGTGTTAAATTTATCAGAAGTGATAGCAAAGATTTATATCTTTAGAAAATATTTAAATTTTAAATAAATGCTCTTCTTTTTAACTTTTTATTCATCAAAGAATCCTGAAAAAAGTATCTCAGTTTCCAAAAAAATATTTGGCAGCACAACTGTTGCCAACATTGACAATTCTAATAATAAATCAGCATATTAGAATGATTTCTGAAGGATCATGTGACACTTTAGACTGGAGTAATGGCTGATGGAAATTTTGCTTTGCATCACAGAAATAAATTATATTTTAAAGTATATTAAAATAGAAACCATTATTTTATATAATAATAACATTTTGCAAGATTACAGTTTTTTTTTTTTTCTGTATTTTTGATCAAATAAATGCATCCTTGATGAGCAGAGGAGACTTCTTTTAAAAACATTAACCTTTGAAAAGTGAAACTGCATTATATATGAAGACTTTAGAGTGTTCAGAAAATATAAATCAAAATGTCTGTGTGTGTGTGTGTGTGTGTGTGTATATATATATATATATATATATATATTTAGCAAAAAAAAATGAAAGTTTTTATTAGTATTTTTTTAACTCGGCATCATTAAATTTGGTGATTTTAGGCCTTATTTGCAAATCAGTAGAGCAGATTTTTTAAAAGATGCAAAGCTGTGTAATTGATAATTAAATATTTAATGTTAACTTGAACTTCATCATGGTTTCATTTTATTCAGCACTGGATCAGTTTGGCGATACTATCCTGTTCACCACGGATGATGACATCCTGGAGGCCATGGCGCAGTATGATGACACGTTTGGGAGTGAGATGGGCGGGCCGGGCGTGGAGGAAGAGGAGCTGCAGCGGCCGCGGACGGCTGACGGTGAAGGAGAGGAGAGGCCGTTCACACAGGCTGGGTTCAGGAAGGAGGACACGCACACCCGCGTATGTGATGCTGCTTTTAAAGCACTCATATTGTAGATATTTTGGGCTTAATGTAAAAGTGAGATTTTTTTATTAAAGAAATTTTGAGGATGCATTAAATTGATCAAAAGTGACAGTAAAGACGTTTATAATATTCCAAAAGATTATATTTCAAGTAAATGCTGTTCTTTTGAACTTTCTATTCATCAAAGAATCCTGAAAAAACATTTCCACAAAACATTAAGCAGCAAAAACTGTTTTTAACATTGATAATAACCAGAAATGTTTCTTGAGCAGCAAATCAGCATATTAGAATGATTTCTGAAGATCATGTGACACTGAAGACTGGAGTAATGATGCTGTTGTGTTTGTGTTTTATGAAACCATATACTTGACATTATGAATGAAGAAAATAAAATGTTGTATAAAAAAATAAATATTGTTATAAATATATAAATGAGCCCTATGTAAAAATCTGCTCTTGTTTTTATGCATTATTGAGGTCAAACAATATGTGAATATGAATCATGGGATGTGTTTTGCTTCAGATGGATCTGGACCACATCTCTGCAGCTGAACTGTGTGCTGATACTGGAGAGGAAACAACAGGACTTTATACTGGCAGTAGTGAGTATCAATAAATTACAAAACTAAGTAGGTGTGTGTATATGTATGTATATATATATATATATATATATGTATATATAATTAATTAATTATATACTTATATTTTTTTAAATATATAAATATATTAAATATATTCATCATGTAAATAGCAATTTAATTAAAAAAAGCACAAAATGCCGTTTCATGTCTCTTGGTAATATTTCATGTATTTTCTGTAAAGCTGCTTTGGAATGATGTGTAATGTAAAAAGTGCTGCACAAATAAACATAAATCGAATTGAATATTTGAACTGTTTCTCTCTAGTTCTGCAGCTGAATCTGCTGTCATCGTGGGGTGACCCTCACTATGTGGGTTTGACGGGGTTCGAGGTCGTTGGTAAGGGCGGGGAGAGTATTCCTGTTGATGTCTCTATGGCAACAGCGTCACCCCGTGACCTCAACGACCTCCCTGAGAACAGCAACGACCTTCGAACTCTGGACAAGTCAGTGAAAGATACGTTCTGTATATGAGAATTGAGATGGAGCTGGTTTTGGGGTTTCTAAATCCTGTTTTCTTCCTCTTTCAGGTTGTTTGATGGGATGAACATCACCACAGATGATAAACACATGTGGCTGATTCCCTTCACGTCCGGTTCTGATCACACACTCGCTGTACGGTTCGGCCAGCCACAGACGATCGCCGGATTCAGAATATGGAACTACAACAAATCGCCTGAAGACTCTTACAGAGGGGTGAGAGCGAAATCTGGGCTCTGGTTTTCTGGAATGGATCTTTTCAATTCAACAGGTGTTCACTAGTGTTTTTCAGCACACACACCTCACCTCATGTGCCGTGTGTTTCCTCCAGTTGAAGGTTGTGCATGTGTTCCTGGACAGCGTGTGTATTTCTCCAATCGGGGGGTTTCTCATTCGCAAGGGTCCGGGGAATTGCCACTTTGACTTCGCACAGGAGATTCTGTTCATAGACTACCTACAGTCCAACACGAGCACTGCCGCCCATAACAGATCACTCACTACGACCAGCAAAAACACAGAGGACGCGCACGCTCACTGGTACAGCACCCTCTTGATATTATTACAGTCATCAACCTTGACTCCACATACTTTCTCTCGTCTTGAGGGATGAAGTAGTTTGTGTGTGTTTTCAGGGGTGGAAACCGGAGAGATGAGTTGGCCAGTATGGACTATGAGGCTCCATTGATGCCATGCGGATGTATCCTCACATTTTTGCTTACTATATGGTTCATTACAAATATCAATTTCTTACATTGTGTGTCCTGACGATACAGTCTTTAAATATTCAATTCAGTTCAATTCAATTCAAGTTTATTTGTACAGCGTTGTTTCAGGGTTGGCATCATCTGAGGTCCTGTGAGTAAATGTATTGTCAGATTTCAGTTATCTATTAAAATAGATTATTTTATCCATTTAAATAGCTTAAAAACTGCCTGTATGTATCATTTTTAGCCTTTATTAGATAAAATAATCTACTTCGTTAGATAATTCCCTGTGAGATCAGACAAATAAGACATATTTATGTGTGTGTGTGTGTCTGTGTGTGTATTTCATTCATTCTTTCTTTCATTTATTTATTTCAAAATAATCAATTACATTTTTTTATTATCTTACTATAGATAGAGGATAGATTAAAAAAATCTAAATTATTTAAAATAAATTTTTATGATACAGATAAAAAATAAAGATGATTAAAATTGATTATTTCAAATAAATATTCATGATTTATTTTAGAAATTATTAGTGCTGTCAAACGATTAATCGCGATTAATCGCATCCAAAATAAACGTTTTTGTTTACATAATATATGTGTGTACTGTGTATATTTATTATCTACATATAAATACACACACATGTATGTATATATTTAAGAAAAATGTTACGTTTATATATTAAATGTATTTATATATGATATAAATTATATTAATATAAATATATACATGTAAATACAGGTAAATATTTTCAAAATATATGCTGTATATGTGTGTATTTATATATAGATAATAAATATACACTACACACATATATTATGTAAACAAAAACTTTTATTTTGGATGCAATTAATCACGATTAATCGTTTGACAGCACTAGAAATTATACATAAATAAAATATTACAAATAATGAAAAATAAATATAAAAATTTTAAATAATATAACAATTATAATATACTTGAATTACTTTTTGCCATAATTGCCAATGTATAGCTGATACATTTTATCAAACATTGGCAAGTATGTAACAATTCAGCAAAGCATTACAAAAGTTCCATTCTTTCATTGATCCACGAATTGTGATCATTTCGGTGTGTGTTTGAGATCTCCTGAGTTTTTCCTTGACTGATTTTGTGTCAGTTATCTTCCAGCTGCAGTTGTTGACAACGTGGGGTGACCCGTACTACATCGGCCTTAATGGACTGGAGTTCTATGACCAGAATGACCAGAAGATCCCGCTCAGTGACAACAGTATCCTTATGAGCACACGCACACAGAGCGATCAATCAAGGATCCACACACACAGCACTCAACAAGACTGAGACACTTTACAGCTCAAAGCATTTTCTTTCATTTGTCACACAGACATCGCTGCGTTCCCTGACAGCGTGAATGTGTTAGATAACGTGTGTGGTGACGTCCGCACACCTGATAAACTGATAGATGGGGTCAATAACACACATGACGGGCAACACATGTGGATTGCACCGGTGCTGCCTGGGCTGGTGAGGACAAACTGTGTGTGTGATTGTGTGACCGTGGGTTTATCAGCTAAGCTCCACCCACTGATTACTGTTGTAACTCCAAACAAGCTTTACAGAAGAAAATCCCATAGGAATCATCAGGACGTTTCCATAAACAGTGTGATTTTCAATAAAACGTGCTCCTCAAGTGGTCAGAATTTGATCTTATTGTTGCATCTTTTCCAGGTGAACCGTGTCTATGTCATCTTTGACCAGCCAATGACAGTCTCCATGATTAAATTGTGGAACTATTCCAAAACACCTCAGCGAGGAGTCAAGGAATTTGGGGTAAAACACACACATGCACACAAATTAGTGTGCCATTTAAATATTTTACTACAAAATGCTTGTAATATGCACTTCCATTCAAAGGTTTGGGATCGGTTTTAAGTTTTAAGGTTTTTGAAAGACTCTTCTGCTCACCAAGCCTGCATTTATTTGATCAATAGTACATTAAAAACAGAAATATTGTGAAATATTTTTACAATTGAAAATAACTGTTTTCCGTTTGAATATATTGTAAAATATAATTTATTTCTGTGATCAAAACTGAATTTTCAGCATCATTACTCCAGTCTTCAGTGTCACATGATCTTCAGAAATCATTCTAATATGCTGATTTGCTGCTCAAGAAACATTTCTGATTATTATCAATGTTGAAAACAGGATTATTTGAATAACTTTTAAAAGAACAGCATTTATTTGAAATAACAAATTGTTGTATCCTTATAAATGTCTTTACTGTCACTTTTGATCTCTTTAATGCATCCTTGCTAAATAAAAGTATCTAAGATCATCACACAGAATTATGTGGTATGCTTGTCAAATGTAAGAAGTCAGTGTTTCATTCTCCTGTCTTTCTGTATCGGATGACCTGTGTGTTTGTGTGTTTAGCTCCTAGTCGATGACCTGTTAGTGTATAACGGGATTTTAGAGTGTGTGAAGAACATTTCGCGGGGAATTCTGCCAACCCTGGATCCTGTTGTTCCTTACCACACCATACAGTTCACAGACAACACGCAAATCACACACCGGGAGAAGAGCACTATTATCAGGTACACACACTGCATTTGATATTTCTGTGGTGCTTTTTTGTTTAAAGCAATTTGAGCAACTTTTTTTTTCAGAAATGTGGGTTTTTCTATTGCATCAGGCAGGAAAAAAACTTTTTTGTAAGCTCTATTTTTAAGATAAATTAAACACCCACATAAATGCATTAAACACACACGCAGCTGAATGTGAGCACTCAATGCCAAACTCAGACAAAACACACACGCACAACTGCTGTTGACTGACTCATTGTTTGGCCTGATCGCTCTCTCTTACGCCCTGGGCGTGATGCTAAACAGACCAGACGATGACTTGAGAAACAGGTAGGTGTGTGTGTGTGTGTGTGTGTGTGTGTGTGTGGGTGTGTGTGTGTGTGTGTGTGTGTGTGTGTGTGGGTGTGTGTGTGTGTGTGTGTGTGTGTGTGTGTGGGTGTGTGTGTGTGTGTGTGTGTGTGTGTGTGTGGGTGTGTGTGTGTGTGTGTGTGTGTGTGTGTGTGGGTGTGTGTGTGTGTGTGTGTGTGTGTGTGTGTGGGTGTGTGTGTGTGTGTGTGTGTGTGTGTGTGTGGGTGTGTGTGTGTGTGTGTGTGTGTGTGTGTGTGGGTGTGTGTGTGTGTGTGTGTGTGTGTGTGTGTGTTTAATGAGCTGTATGAGAAGCTATGATCACTCTTATCTTCATCCATCTAGCCTACGGTTCACATTCAGGCTGCATTTTTGCCCCATGATGCATTTTTGTTCATGTAAGCAGGTGTCAGTGAAACTCATTGAGGAAATGTCTGTCGTTAAAGCAACCATGTGGAGGACCAGGATGTGAAATTGACCAATGAGAATCAAATCATTCACCAGCACAAGAAGAAACAGACAGCTGACCCAGGTGCTCACAAGCATCACACACGTTTAATTAGCTTAATTAGTTGTTTTATGTGAAGCTAATATAAGCACTACCTTCTAAGCCTACCACAGAAAACTTGCCTGTTTACAAATTAAAAACAATGTTTTATTTTCAGCTCTGCGGCCCAAAACCTGCATGACGGACGTACGGAAACACGGAAAGCAGCGATACTGAGAGAAGACGGCAGGGTTCAGGGATTTTGAAAGCAGGTTTTTTTTTTTTTCTTTTTCCCCTTTGGGAATATTTGGAAAACTCAGTAACCTCAACACACACACACACACACTCAAACTGTATGATAAAGCTGTGTATTTGTTTTTGCTATGAGGTTGTTGTATTATATATTTTACGTTTTTTTTTAAGTAAGTGTCCTTTGACCATGTCATGTGATTCTGGATGGAAGTTAATGCACACCAGTACATTTCTTTTTTCATGTCAGATTCACTTGTGATAATCAGAATTTGTAGCTTGTATGTCCTACAGCCATATTTAAACAGTCTAATTGTCGAATATATTGGTAACATTAAGTGTTTACAATATTTCAGATTTACACAGTTTCTAAGTCTTTCACAGTTCTTTCAAAACACTTTTACAAATATTATGCGCAAACTGCCAGTTTACCTCATATTAAAGCCACTGTAATTATTATTAAATATCACCTATCTCTATTGATTGTCACTATTTTTATTTGAGTATGCAATTTTATATGCAATTTTACCTTGAAAGAAAACTTCTTAGAAATGGTCATTATTATAATGGGGTTCAATGCTACTAGTGTTGCAGAAATCATTTACAGCAGCATAAACTGAGATTGAGGTTTGTATTATCATCATAGCTACAGATTTGATTGCTGACTAATCCTAATCCTTGAGCAAACTGGACCTTCAGTGGTGATTTTTTATTTTTTTTCAGTTTTCATCAAGAGCTTAATTCTAATAGCTCTAGCGGTTGCTGTGATTTGTTGATCATAATAAGAGTGATCTTGTTGTGACATTCAGTCTCAAAGTATTTACAAGTAAAGTTGAAAAATTTTTGGATTTACGACTTGCAATGTAAAGCCTAAAAATTAAAATTTGCTGAAAATGTACTCACTTTCAGTCCATCCAAGATGTAGATGAGTTTGTTTCTTTATGAGAACAGATTTAGAGAAATGTAGCATTCCATCACTTGCTCAGCAATGGATCCTCTGCAGTGAATGGGTGCCGTCAGAATGAGAGTCCAAACAGCTGATAAAAACATCACAATAACCCACAGCACTCCAGTCCATCAGTTAACATCTGGAGAAGTGAAAAGCTGCGTGTTTGTAAGAAACAAAACCTAAAATAATATTTGCTTTCTCCAGTGAAAAAGTAATTTCTGGAATCAGGAGAGAAACTTTTTGACTGGAGGAAGCGGGATTATAGACTTATTAGCATTATTATGGATGATGTATTTTGGCCAGATGAGACGGTTTAAAGTTACGTCTTAATGGATTTGTTTCTTACAAACATGCAGCTTTTGGTTTCACAAGTATTGCTTCTGGATTATTGTGATGTTTTTATCAGCTGTTTGGACTCTCATTCTGACGGCACCCATTCACTGGTGGGCAAGTGATGGAATGTTAAATTCCTCCAAATTTGTTCTACATCTTGGATGCCCTGAGGGTGAACACATTTTCAGCAAATTTTTATTTTTGGAGAACTATTCCTTTAAAAGGGAGAAGATCGTCTGACCAACATGTTAAATGTTCTGCTCGTGGTTATCTAGTTTACTTGCCACTAAATGCCTTAAAAACTCTCAAAACTTTTTGAACTTTACCAAACCCACTGCTTTAGTTCTAAGTTTTTGTTCTCATAAGTTCTCAACCTGGTACCTTGTAAAGACAATTTTGTATGCAGGTGAACTTATGCACTGTGTTTTTCTGTACAACCCAGCCATTACGACTGTAACAGCCAATTTTCTGCTAAAACCTTTTGGTTTTGTGTAATATGCATTGGATGCCAAACCAAAATTACTGTTGTTGTTGACAGAGACTCCATGAAGCACGCCACAAAAGAATCGCATTTCAAAGCCTGAGATATTTTAATGCAGAATCTGCAATACTTTCATTTAAATAAGGAATGACATTAACAATCTATCTCATCCTCCAGCCTGACAGAAGCATTTTTGGACAAACATTGATAAAGCCCTGCTCGGCTGGGGTGAGACGACACCACAGACAGATGCATTTCGGTTCCCCTGATGCAGTGCTTTGGAGAATGTGCCATCTTCAGAGCTTTCCCGGAAATGTTCCATCTTCCCTCTGGCTGTCCCATTTCTCGATCTGAGCAAAACACCAAAATGTTGAGAGTAAATGATCTTTATGCACAATTCTGGTGCTTACGTCGATATAGGGGATGAAGGAATATTTACCCAGGAAAGAGGACAGAGAGGTTTGTAGACCCTCTTGTACCAGTCACATGGAGCTGTGTCGACACCTTTGGCATCCAGAGATTTTTGGCAGCGATAATAATCTGTACATAAAATAAATAGATTCTCATAGATTACTATGTTTTTTGGACATGGTACCATAGTATTTCTAAAATAAAATAAAAAAATTAATAATAAAAAATATAATAAAAAAATAATTTAGGAGGAAAATATTTATTAATAGAAAAATAATAGAAACATTTTCTTGCATTTTTTTTTATTTTAGGGTGAAAATGTACTGTTTTTACTATGTATATAATTTATTTTTAACATATTTGGGGTAACATGTTTCTGAAAGTCTCACCAAGGCTGCATTATTTGATTAAAAATACTAAATTTGAATAAATAAAAAATAATGAAGTAAAGTATTTTCAGGATTATTTGATGAACCGAACGTTCAAAGTATAAGGATTTGAAATAGAAGTCATTTGTAACATTATAAATGTCTTTACTGTCACTTGTGATCAATTTAATGCGTTCTTACTAGGGCTGTAAAATCGATTAATCATGATTAATCGCATCCAAAATAAAAGATTGTGTTTGCATAATATGTGTGTATTGTGTATATTTATATGTATATGTATATATAAATACACACAAATACACACACACACACACATATATATTTTTTTAATATATACATAAAAATAAATAAACATATATTATGTAAATAAAACTTTTATTTTGGATGTGATTCATCGATTTAACAACCCTAGTTCTTACTGAATAAAAATTTATTTAAAAAAAAAAAAATCTTGCTGACCCCAAACTTTCAAACAATAGTGTAGGCTTACATTCATACTGAATTGTATTAATCAAAATTAAACCAAAAGTGGTTAGCATGTGCGCTTATTTCTGCCACGGAATTAAAAAAAATAGTTGCGATTCAGAATTGCGAGGGGGAAAAAAGAATTTTGTGAGATAAACAAAGAATTGTGAGGGGGGGAAAAAACAAGATTTGCAATTACCGTTTTTGCTGTATTGAACGAATAAGCTTCCATGTTGCAAGTTCAATAGCGAACCAAAACATCGCGGTTGTCTAAGCAGGTGACCATAGCAACAGTAAACGGTGTATTCAAAAAATTGTTAAAAAACGTTTCTAAAAAGACAATTCAAATTACTGACATTAATTCCTTTAAAATGTCGACCCACCTGACTGTCGTACAATAGCTATGTTTCCATTACCCTATTTTAATGCGCATTTTGAAGTATCGCATGAGAAACGATGGAAATGCCGAATTTCTAATAAAAATCCCTTAATTCGCAAAAAATGTTTACGCTCGCTTGAGGTGGTTTTTGACTTGTGCGAAAAAGGATTGATGCGAATAATGGGAGATAGAAATGCATTTTGCGAATAAATTCCTGGTTGCCGTGATTTTGCCAAGTAAGGCATGTTCCTGGATCAACATTACTGTCCAAAAATATAGATTTAACCCAATCGCTACCCATAATTTATTCCTCAAATCAGTGTGAAATGATCAGTGTTGGGGAAAGTTACTTTTAAAAGTAATGCATTACAATATTGCGTTACGCCCTAAAAAATTAACTAATTACGTTACTTAGTTACTTTTTATGGAAAGTAATGCGTTACATTACTTTTGCATTACTTTCGCGTTATTTTTTAAATATGAGCAGGGCTTTTTGCTATTTATAGCAAATGTAAAAGCCCTTTCACACCAAAAAGTGTAATGAATAAACCTCAGGTTGAAGCAAAAGTAAATTCACGTCTGTACAGTAGAACGCAGGCTCACCTAAATTCCTCCAAGCGCATCAAAAAAGTAATGCGACTTTGCGCTATGGGCCGGCAAAACCTGACTAACCAGCGGACCGATCTCATTCCACAGCATTGCGTTCCCAAACAGCAGCATCCACCTCCGAAAGCAATGAGCGCGTTCATTGTGTTTCGTCTACTCGCTCTGAGGCGCAAGTAATTTATTATATATGAAAATGATTATATTCTCCTACTTTTCCTAGTGATTTAATAGTGTCAGTTTATCAGGAAACGATGCAAATGTTTTAAACGATATTCCAGTTTTGCGCATAAGTTAAATTCGCAACTTTGGATAGAAACCCGGCTAATGATTATTGCACCACCACAGGACTTTCTGCAGTGGATTACACGCACTTGGATACTCATAATTTGTCCTTTAGTTTAAATGACTCACCCAGGTAGTTCTGCCAGCAGTTTCTCGTCTGGTTCTGGTTCGGGAAGCGGGCATCGAACGGCGCCGTGCGGTACTGCTCCAGCTTCTGCTGAATGTCCTCGGCCATGAGTCGCGCGGGTCCCTTTAAGACACATGCAGATTGAGATAACTGCATTCTCTTGAAAAATAACCCCCATATTCGGCATACCACCCTCCTATAAGTATCTCGACACTAAACGATCTTAAATAAATGCATCTATCATTTTCACTAATAGATAATTGATTTGCAGCACGCTGCGCAATACCAAGAGATATTTCAGAAAAATGCCTAATATATATGTCCATAACTCTACCTTATACGCATCAGAGTGCGCTTCATTTCATCATGAATGAATACATAAATATATAACATGGGTTACTAGACTAATGTATTTATATTTGCTCTATATGATAGGCTACATATAGAGGAAAGGCCGTGCGCGCTGAGGAATAAAACGATATACATTCATTTCATTAAGATTACAATAGCGCATCTATCAAGGTGTTATGTTTCATATATTAGTCCATTAATACGGTTATTCGTTTTGTATTTCAAATAGATCCAAAATAGTAGATGCCTTCGGCATTGAGATCATGTTACACACTTTCGCTTTTACTATGAGAATCAGTATCCGATTTCACAGAATAATACATGTATTTCAATAGAACGCGTTAAATTACCACAGGCAATGAAAACATTATTGTGCAATTATGTGTTTTACCTGTCCGAGGCGGCTGGCTGTTCAAAGTGACTTTTGTTCAGTGACAGACAATCCTCATTCACTAGCTGTGTGTGATAGTAAGTGCACTTGAGCGCTGGCGTGCAGTCTGTTACGCACGGTATGGCAGACTCGGGTCACATTGAAACGACTGAGATGCGATATAGGATGCGATGCGCTTCACAAGACAAACACCAGGCGCCAGCTCATGTGCATATATACATAAATATAGCAAATACATAACCTAATAATGTATTTATTGTATGTGAACTGGCGTGCAGTCTGTTACGCACGGTATGGCGGAC